CCCCAAAACCCCAAAACCCCAAAACCCCAAAACCCCAAAACCCCTCATAAGGTGTCTCTAGATGAAGCAGAAGTTAGTTAATAAAGATTAATAATAATGTTACCAGAAGTATTATACGGATCCCTCAAGATCCTACTTGCCTTTGTTATATCTCTTGTGATCTATTTGGCCTACTTGATTGTTATCAGGCCTCTGATGTTCAGGAGGAAGTTCAGAAAGTACTCCAACGTGCACGTTTCTGAGAAATTTAATCCCTTGGTCGGAGATCTCAACCATGAGATGAGATGCTTTGAGGAGGGTAAAGTGCACTATGCCCACTATGTCGAGAGAGCTAAGATCATAACGAAATATGATCTATATGCAAAAGTAGAAGGAATTGAACCCTATATCGTCATCATTAGCGATAAGGCTTGAAAAGAACTAGCAAACTTGATGCCTAGGTCGGTAGATAGAATTAATGCAGAGAAGGGGATCAACGCGTTAATTGCTCATTCTATGGTAGTATTTAGAAGTACCAAGGAGACATTGCAAAGGAGAAAGAATTTCTCTTCTTTGTTAGGACTCAGTTCAGCATCTAAGCATATCCCTCGGACGCTAGAGTGTTGCCAAGAAGCAGTGGATGAGATGGTCAAAGAACCAAGCTGTGACTTCATTCATCACCTGAGTGAAATAAATTTCAATGCTTTCACTAACGTCTTATTGGGAAAGCATGCTGACGATATTGTTACGAAGCTACATCCTTATGAGAACCCAGATGGAAAGATGGAAGATGTGACTCTTAGAGACTTCTTGATTAGGATAACAAATAAGTATGCCGAACAGCTGTACAATCCAATAACCTTCATTTTTCCATTTTTTGCTAAGAGAAAGCTAATCAGCCCATATGACAGAGACGATAGGAACCTACAAGTGTTCAGAAAGATACTGCGTGGAATAATCACAAGTGTCAAAGACGAGGACACTATTGGAAAGAAGATCTACACAGCTCCTGGGTTAACTGAGGATCAGGGTCTAGATGATCTGTTTATGGCTATGGCTGGAAATACAGAAACAACTTCTCGTGCAATAGTATCATGCTTGTACTACCTAAAGAAGAATATCCACACCCTCGAGAAGCTAAGAGAAGAACTTACTAACTCTGGATTTACTAAGGATTGTGATTACTTGAAGCAGTACACTGTTGATAATTTCCAAAACTGTCCATACCTCAACTGTGTGATAAGAGAAGGCATGAGAATTGATACAGTTGTCTCAGGAAGTGGAGAGTATGGAGCATATGAAGACATCGAACTTTGCGGCGTCCCAATCCCTAAAGGTACAAAAATTAAGCTCGATCTCATCTCTGCCCATTATGCAGAAGATAAATGGCTCAGACCCTTAGAGTTTGTCCCAGAAAGACATGATCTCGATTCAGATTTCTATAAAAAATCAAGAGAGGAAGGGATAGCAGAAGATGCCTATACTAGAAGAAGTTTTAGTCATGGAATGAGAAAATGTCCTGGTCAATCGTTCGCAGTTATGCAGATGAAAGTAATGGTAACATACCTAGTGACTCACATTGAGTACTCATTCACCCAGGAAGATCTAAATAAAGAAGGAGTAGGATTTGGCTTGGGATCTCAGTTCTCTCCTCTCGTATCAGTTAGTAAAGCATAACACATAAGCTTACTTTCAAGTTGGATCACTTTAAGAGGGGTTTTGGGGTTTTGGGGTTTTGGGGTTTTGGGG